CTAAGTCCTGAGCCCTCTCTTCTTCCCATTTGACATTCTCCTCCAGGTGATTTCAGCTACAGATTGCTCAGAGAAGTCTATTCTAGCCACCATGTCTTCAGTAGCTCCCCAACCATTGTTCTCTATTCAGCATTCCATTTATTTCCTTCATATTATTCACCAGAACCTGTAATTATCCGTTTGTTTACTTTTGAGGAAAACAGCTCCTGACAACTGGGAACTGGCCTGACACTAATAGGTATGCCTTAGTGTTGCCAGGAGCTGGCCTGATGCTCACAGGTAGACCATGGTGCTCTCTTGAACATAACCTCACAAAAACCCAATGTCAGACAAGGTCATTCTGTGTCTGTGATTGAGACAAACTTCATAATCTCATCTAAGCACAGACAAAAACAAGGTCACTATGCAAACCACAAAAATACCAAACAGTTCCCTCTCAGCTAAAATGAGTGTTGCGGGCTGGGCACTGTGGCTCATGTCTACAGTCCCAACAGTTTGGGAGGCTGAGAGGGAGGATCGCTTAAGGTTAGGACTTTGAAACCAGTCTGGGCAACATAGTAAGATGCCATTTCTATAATAATAAGTGTCAGCTTTTTAAAATGCTACAGCTTTGGCCATTTTTCATTCTTCTCTCCTTCTAAATTAGGATGTGCAGTTACAGAATTGCTCCTGCTTCCTGACAGCACCCAGGCCAGAATGATTTCCTGCTTCTTTGAAATCCCCTAACACAAACCCTATTAACATCATTCCTAATCCTCTTTTTTTTTTTTTCCAGTTGTAGTCTCACTCCTTCGCCCAGGCTGGAGTGCAGTGGCATGCAGGCTCACGGCCACCCCAGCATTGACCTGCTGGGCTCCAGCGATCCTTCCCCTTCAGCCTTCCAAGTAGCTGAAACTACAGACACGTGCTACCATGTCTGGCTATTTTTGATTTTACTGTAGAGAAGAGGTCTCACCAAGTTACCCAGGCTGGTCTCGAATCCACTAATCCTCTTTTAAAAAGATAACCTGTGCAGTCAATAACCCAACTTAAATGTTTGACTGTGGGTGTGTTCCTAGTGGTCTTTGGCTGGAGGACATCGATACTTTATTTTTATATTGCATCTCCCAGTTTCAGCACAGGTAAAGAGTGTTCATTCTACCCTAAAACTTTTACCAGCTGAAAGCTCCTGCTGTTCTGCTTAGTACATATCTGCACGAACAGAACACTTTTCCAAAAAGCTAGGTATTAGCCACAGCATTAAGTTATAGCCAGTGACATATATGTTGAAGAGCTTATGTTAACTTTGTGGAAATTTCCTCCAAGATAACGGGTGGCTAGGGATGTGGATAAGTTTTACTTTGGACTGTGAATAGAAGTTTGTGATGTGGATCTGAAAGCTGAGGGTTAGGGTTCTGAATATGTGTGTGAGGACCTTGTGGTGTCATGATTGGTACACATGCCTTGGATGTCTACTTGGCCTGTGAAATAAACTTTCATCTTGTTTTAAGACTTTTGGGTTTCTGTTACAACTGAACCTAAACCTGATAAACTGGGACACAGCAGGTGCTTACTTAACACTTAGAGTGAATCAATATATCCATGCTCATGGCTTTAATCACCACCTACATACAGATAACTCAAATTTATGTCTCTAGTTCTAGTCTGAATACTACTTTATATCTGCTTGGATGTCTTCAAAGGCAGCTCAGACTCAACCATCCCAGATGCAAATTAGTGGCATTCTGCCTGTTTTCTTCCAATACTTTTCTTTTTTAATTTTTTTTTTGAGTTGGAGTCTCAACTGTCACCCAGACTGGAGTGCAGGGGCTGCTCCCGGCTACCACAGCCTTGACCTGCTGGGCTCTGGCAATCCTTCAGCCTCAGCCTTCCGAGTAGCTGGAACTACAGGCGCGCGCTACCACACCTGGCTCATTTTGATTTATTGTAGAGATGAGGTCTCGCCAAGTTGCCCAGGCGGGTCTTGAACCCGCGGGCTCAGGCAATCCACTCACCTCAGCCTCCCAAAGGTGCGGGATTACAGGCTGAGCCACCGAGCCTGGCTTACAATACTTTTCAAGTGGTACTTACTTATGTAAGCCAGAACTACCCAGAGAAACTTAAAATACTTTCATTTTGACCTATCCTTTTCTTTTCTTTTTGAGTTGGAGTCTCACTCTGTAGACCAGACTGGAGTGCAGTGGTCACTCCCGGCCACCGCAGCCTCGACCTGCTGGGCTCTGGTGATCCTTCTGCCTCAGCCTTCCAAGTAGCTGGAATTACAGGCATGCGCTACCATGCCCGGCTGATTTTTTTATTTATTGTAGAGATGAGGTCTCGCCAAGTTGCCCAGGCGGGTCTTGAACCCGCGGGCTCAGGCAATCCACTCACCTCAGCCTCCCAAAGGTGCGGGATTACAGGCTGAGCCACCGAGCCTGGCTTACAATACTTTTCAAGTGGTACTTACTTATGTAAGCCAGAACTACCCAGAGAAACTTAAAATACTTTCATTTTGACCTATCCTTTTCTTTTCTTTTTGAGTTGGAGTCTCACTCTGTAGACCAGACTGGAGTGCAGTGGTCACTCCCGGCCACCGCAGCCTCGACCTGCTGGGCTCTGGTGATCCTTCTGCCTCAGCCTTCCAAGTAGCTGGAATTACAGGCATGCGCTACCATGCCCGGCTGATTTTTTTATTTATTGTAGAGATGAGGTCTCGCCAAGTTGCCCAGGCGGGTCTTGAACCCGCGGGCTCAGGCAATCCACTCACCTCAGCCTCCCAAAGGTGCGGGATTACAGGCTGAGCCACCGAGCCTGGCTTACAATACTTTTCAAGTGGTACTTACTTATGTAAGCCAGAACTACCCAGAGAAACTTAAAATACTTTCATTTTGACCTATCCTTTTCTTTTCTTTTTGAGTTGGAGTCTCACTCTGTAGACCAGACTGGAGTGCAGTGGTCACTCCCGGCCACCGCAGCCTCGACCTGCTGGGCTCTGGTGATCCTTCTGCCTCAGCCTTCCAAGTAGCTGGAATTACAGGCATGCGCTACCATGCCCGGCTGATTTTTTTATTTATTGTAGAGATGAGGTCTCGCCAAGTTGCCCAGGCGGGTCTTGAACCCGCGGGCTCAGGCAATCCACTCACCTCAGCCTCCCAAAGGTGCGGGATTACAGGCTGAGCCACCGAGCCTGGCTTACAATACTTTTCAAGTGGTACTTACTTATGTAAGCCAGAACTACCCAGAGAAACTTAAAATACTTTCATTTTGACCTATCCTTTTCTTTTCTTTTTGAGTTGGAGTCTCACTCTGTAGACCAGACTGGAGTGCAGTGGTCACTCCCGGCCACCGCAGCCTCGACCTGCTGGGCTCTGGTGATCCTTCTGCCTCAGCCTTCCAAGTAGCTGGAATTACAGGCATGCGCTACCATGCCCGGCTGATTTTTTTATTTATTGTAGAGATGAGGTCTCGCCAAGTTGCCCAGGCGGGTCTCGAACCCGTGGGCTCAGGCGATCCACTCACCTCAGCCTCCCAAGGCACGAGATTACAGGCTGAGCCACCGAGCCCGGCTGACCTATCATTTTCAAACATCCACTTTTCTCCAACTCCACTACCCAAGTCTGTGCCATCACCATGGCTCATCTGTACCACTGAAGTAAACTTCTAACCTCCAGGTCTAGCCTGGCCCTCTCCACACAAGTTGATCTTTTCGAAAACCAATCCAATAGATGGTACTCATCTGCCTAAAACTCTTCAAAGGCTTCTCTCTCTTTTTTTTTTTTTTAGTTGGAGTCTCACTCTGTAACCCAGCCTGGAATGCAATGGCATACTCACGGCCATCCCAGTGTTAACCTGCTGGGCTCCGGCGATCCTTCTGCCTCAGCCTTCCAAGTAGCTGGAACTACAGGCGCGCACTACCACATCTGGCTAATTTTGATTTATTTGTAGAGATGAGGTCTCGCCAAGTTGCCCAGGCGGGTCTTGAACCCACGGGCTCAGGTAATCCACTCATCACAGCCTCCCAAGGCGCGGGATTACAGGCTGAGTCACCAAGCCCGGCTTGCAAAGGCTTCTATTTTATGAGCCAAATCCAATCTGGGTGTGGTAGCTCATGTCTGTACTCCCAGCATTTTGGGAGGCAGAGACAGGAGGATTGCATGAACCCAGGGGTTCAAGACCAACCTGGACAACTTGGTGAGACCTTATCTCCACAATAAATCAAAAAATAAGTTGGGCATGTTGGTGCATGCCTGTGGTTACAGCTACTTGGAAGGCTGAGCAGAAGGATCTCCTGAGCCCAGCAGGTTCAGGTTGTGGTGGCCGGGAGTATGTCACTGCACTCCAACCTGGGTGACAGAGTGAGACTGAGTCAAAAAAAAAGCAAAAACCAAATCTCTTTGCTCCTCTTCCTTCTGCCCCCTCTCCACTCTAAATCTCTTAGCTCACCTCTTCCTGGGTCTTTTAGCAAAGACATCTGCCTCGACTACTCTCTTCCACTCTACCTCCTGATTATCTTTCAGAGTTTGCCTCAGTTACATCTCCTTCCCTCTTTATTACACACTTCCCTTTCACCATGACAGTCTTCTTCCCAGCACTTTTGACAGGTTTAACTTTACACGTTATTTGTCATTATTTGATGAATCTGTCTTCCATTGCAGATTTGAAATTCATTGGTTTCAGTTCCCAGTTATCTCTAGTGCCTAGTATATTCCTTGGCCCAGAGTAACTCCACAAGACTGTTGAAAGACTGCTTCATCACTATTCCATAAACACCAATTGTACAAAGTAAAATGTAAAAACCACTCCACGGACAACTGGCCTTTCCTTTTTCCTTGAACATAAAGTGGCTTGGTCTGGTTGAAGCCTATAGGGTAATAGGTCCCCATTGGTTCTTTTAGCCTGGAAGAAGGTTAAGCTTTGCCATTCCCCATCACCAATGTATATGAACTAAAAGAAGAATGAGCTGGCTCTACCAGGTAAGAATAGCCTTGTCTACACCTCCAGAGATGACTACAACACAGTGATTAAAGAAAATGCTGGTTTCCACTGCGTTTATTACTAATATAAAAAAATGTTAAAAAAAAAAAACACAACAATTCATTCTCAGTTCTCCAACAATTCTCACCCATCCCTCTTGCCCACACAACTCCTGACCCATTTCCTCAGGGCCAGTTCAAAACTGAACCTGTTCACTGCCGTTTTCACAGAAAACAACCAGTGCCAGGGTGTAGGGGAAGAGGGTTGGAAGAGGGCAACAGTACTGTCCAGGTTCCACCCAAAAAATAGGCCAGGTGGAGATTCACAGAATTCAAATGAAAGGGCTGGTTGCCTAACAATGACACAGTCTAACTAAAATGGGCTGGAGAGGAGCTAGGAAGGGTAAAGCCATCAAAGGCTTCACAGGATGTTCAACTGGCCTGTGTCAGACCCAGAAAAACTAACACCAGGAGAAGAATGAGGAGGACCAGGGAGGCAGTCTTATGGAAAGTTTCACAATTCTCCCATGTTGGGAGACGGAATAGTCTAGAGGGCACCAAGAGGCTCACTCATTTTGGCAGAAAAACTTATTCTAGTGTTGGGAAGTCACAAAAATGCCATGGACACTGAGAAAGGCTACAAGGGGATGCACAGTTCCATAAAGCACAGTGATCACAGACCATAGCGGAGGGGATCATGCTACTGACAGAAACTATGAAATTCGAAAACAAAGTGGCCTTCAGGGAGTAACTGTACCAGTCACCCAAGCTTGACCCCAGGTCAGATAACCTGGTGAGTTTCACAAGCAGCTGACAACATTGGGGAAGGGGTGTCACATAAAAAGACTTAAAACAAGCAGCTAGAAGGGAATGGTAGGAAACTGCTCCAGGGCTCTCAGGAATTGAGGGCAGTACTGGGGACTGGTGGACAGATGCACAAGAAACAGCACCAAAGAGGTTTCCTGTTCAGCAGTCATTTGACGAGGGGCAAGAAGATCCAGGAGGCAACTGAAAGGGGCAAAGTTGGGTCCTGAAGGCAAGTCTCTGGAGGCTGGACCAGATGAATGTGCACACACTGTGCACCAGTGATGAAAAACAACTCTGGACCCCAAAATGGGGTAAGTGGCAGATGGGGTAGATGTGTCACTGACTGAGGGTTTTGGATGGAAGAGCCTCACGGTAGCCATCAAAGGGCCTCAGAGAAATACATGGCCACTAGGTCAACAGAGGGATCCTTCCAGCCTGGATGGGAAGGCACAGTCTCACAGAGGAGGTCCATTGACGCCTGGATGGTAGAAGGCACAGAGGTCCTCATATCGACAGTGACCCTTTTTGGCAAAGTGTCGGCAGACAGGGCGGCCGGATTTGTCTGTAAACAAATGAAAATTGGGCAGTTTAAAATTTAAGGAAGAAAACAAAGCTAATGAAAAACAGAGTGTAAGAGGCTAGAATTCCTATCCCCTATCATTTCCAGTGTTTTGGAATGGTACTTTCTCCTGGGAGATAAATCATTCAGGTTTACCTCTGCTTCAAAAGGAAAAAAGACAGCCCAAAGAAGAGTCATGAGCATAACAAGATGGGCCTCACCTTCTATAACCTGGGGGTCATCCTTGGGTGGGCAGGTATTCTTGATAAGAGACCAGCTTTTGAGTCTTCGAGGATTTCTCTGCTCTTTGTGAAAGCTTCCCCTGGAGGGACCCCCATGACCTGGCCCCGGAAAAGGAGGTTCAGCACTGACTCCCCACCAACCACGACCATATGGGCCAGACCTGGGGCCAAAGCCTCCCCGAATTGAGGCTCTACCCCGGGGAGGAGGTGGGAGACTCAGCAGTGGTGGAATCATTGGTCCCCTTGGTCCAGGAGTACCTCTGTAAAGAACTAGAGAAAAAAAGACACAGAAAGGTGACCAATGGACAGAGCTTAATCCTGATACAGAAGCCTGTCTTTTTTCCCTAACTGGAGTACAGTATACATAGATACATCACTTTTAAGTATACAATTCAATTATCACAAAGTGGACATACCTGAGGTTCCAACACTCAGGTGAAGAGAGAGTCTTATTAGCACTTCAAAGACCTCTCTTGTATCCCTTCCCCTACTACCTCACCCTCTTCTCCAAAGGTAACCACTATCCTGACTTCTAACACCATAGATTAGTTTTTAAACTTTGCATGAATGAAATCATAGTCTGCATTTTTTTTTTTTGAGTTGGAGTCTCACTCTGTCACCCAGACTGAAGTGCAGTGGCTGCTATAGCCTCGACCTGCTGGGCTCTGGCGACCCCTCCGCCTCACCCTTCCAAGTAGCTGAACTACAGGTGTGTGCTACCACACCTGGCTAATTTTTGATTTATTGTAGAGATGAGGTCTCGCCAAGTTGCCCAGGCTGGTCTCGAACCCGCGGGCTCAGGCAATCCACTCACCTCAGCCTCCCAAAGCGCGGGATTACAGGCTGAGCCACCGAGCCCGGCTAGTCTGCATTCTTTTGTGCCTGGCTCCTGTTGTTCAACATCTTGTTTGTGAGATTCATTCAGGTTGGTTGTAACAGTAGTTTGCTCATTTTCACTGCAGCATAGTATCCCATTGCATGCACACACAACTTATTTATCCATTCTGCTGATGACAGATATATGGTGGCATTCAGTTTTTCCTATCAGGAAAAATGCTATGAACATTTTAATACATGTCTCCGTTACACATATGTATGCATTTTTGTTGAGTGTATACGTAGTAGGAGTATTGCTGAGTAGTACATAGAACTATGTGTATGCTCAAGTTTCATAGATACTGTCAAACTTTTTTTCCCAAAGTGGTTGTATCAATCAATACTCCCACCAGCAGTTGTTTCATAACCTTGATGACACTTAGTATTGTTAGTATTTTTTATTTTGCCATTTTGGTTAAGTGTGAAAAGTGGTGGATGTTTGGTTTTTACTGTAGCAAAAAAACATGTAACATAAAATTTACCATCTTTTTTTAAAAACGTAACTATTTTTATTTTTTATTTTTTGAGTTGGAGTTTCACTCTGTCACCCAGACTGGAGTGCAGTGGCCGCTCCCGGCCACCGCAACCTCGACCTGCTGGGCTCCAGCGATCCTTCTGCCTCAGCCTTCCAAGTAGCTGGAACTA